TCCACTCAAATCATCTTTCCACCAAATCCAAATCCTGTGAGAGAGAGTTGAGTGTTGGGGAGACTATCATTTGAAGCACAAGAGCAAGGAGTTTATCATCAACACACTTGTTACTTCTTGGAGAGTGGTGTCTCCTAGATTGGTTAGGTGTCACTTGGGAGCCTCCGACAAGATTGTGGAGTTGAACCAAGGAGTTTGTAAGGGCAAGGAGATCGCCTACTTCATGAAGAACTACCCTAGTGAGGCAAGTCCTTCGTGGGCGACGGCCATGGTGGGATAGTCAAGGTTGCTTCTTCGTGGACTCTTCGTGGGTGGAGCCCTCCGTGGACTCGCGCAACTGTTACCCTTCATGGGTTGAAGTCTCCATCAACGTGGATGTACGATAGCACCACCTATCGGAACCACGGCTAAAAAATTTCCGTGTCAACATTGCGTTTGCTTCCTCAAACTCCTCCCTTTACCTTCATATGCAATTGTTTTACATTTTGCTGCTATACTCTTAGAATTGCATGTGTAGGTTGATTGCTTGACTTGTGCTAAGTTGCTAAAATCTGCCCAGAACTAAAATTGGGAAAAAGGCTAGATTTTTATTTGGTCAAGTAGTCTAATCACCCCCCCCCTCTAGACATACTTTCGATCCTACAGGTGGTCTTTTTATCAAAAACAAACAAAAACAGCAGGAGCGATGGAGAGATTGAAATGGAGCTTAGGATTCAGGCATGGGGTAGCTGTGAATTGCAATAAAAAGAGTGGGGGTTTGGCATTATGGTGGAGAGAACATGTGGACGTAACAGTGAGGCCTTGGTGCCAATACTACATCGATGCTCAAGTTGTGATGGATGGTGTCACCTTTAGATTCACTGGAATCTATGGGGAGCCATGTGTGGAAAAGAGGTCGAAAACATGGGATGTACTGTGCTACCTCCGGGCACAAGATAATCTACCATGGCTATGTGCGCGTGACTACAATGAAGCTCTTCTCCAGAAAGAGCAGGTGGGTGGTAATCCGAGGTGTTTGAGGCAAATGGAGACTTTCGTCGATTGCTTGTCCGACTGCGGGCTCGCAGATCTAGGCTACTCGGGGTATCCTTTCACCTGGGATAACAAACGTGATGGTAGCGAGAATGTTCAAGTGAGATTGGATCGGGCCACCTGCAATGCTGACTTTGCACAGCTGTTCCCGGCGGTAGAAGTTTTACATGTCATGACCGAGGAATCTGATCACCAGGCGATAGTTGTCAAGGTGCAAGCGGCACTGGCTGCGAAGCACTAGGGAGGGCAACGCCCTTTTGTCTACAAGGCAGCTTGGGTAAGGCACGAGGAATACGAGCCGATGGTGGCAACTGCATGGGCCAATGCTCATGCAACCAATCCCGGGGCTGGTGCACTTGGGGGCGCGTGCAGCCGCATTAAAGCTACGTCCGGGCCATGCATCTTTGAGTCTATAAAGAAACAGATCGCTCATTTGAAGGTGCAACTAGTCGAGGCCAAAGAGAGGGCTGTGTGGTCTGGATACAGACAGGAGGTGAAGGATATAGAGGACCAGTTACACGAACTATATGAACTAGAGGAGATTTATTACAAACAGAGATCGCGGGTGGACTGGCTGATGGAGGGGGACCAAAACACGAAGTATTTTCAGAACCGAGCTTCACACATGAAGAGGAAGAATACGGTCAAAGCTCTCATTAGAGATGACGGGACCAAGTGCACAGATGATGATGGGATGAGGAAGTTGGCGGCTCAGTTCTACGCACATCTCTTCACTTCGGAGGGCTCGCGGGATGCGGAGAGAGTGCTTTGGCATATAGATGTGGTTGTTACAAAAACGATGAATGCCAAGCTGTGTGAACCGTTCACCGATGAGGAAATCGAGACAACCCTCTTCCAGATGGGTCCCACAAAGGCGCCGGGGCCGGACGGGCTCCCGACCATGTTCTACCAAAAACGTCGGGCTCTATTAAAGGAGGATGTGTGTGAGGCGATCCGCGAGTTTCTTGCTGGTCAGGCACCCCCGACGGGGTTTAATGACACAATCATAGTGATGATTCCGAAAGTAAGCTCATCGGAGCTACTCTCGTAGTTTCGTCCTATTAGTCTATGCAATGTCCTATATAAGATTGCCGCGAAAGCACTGGCTAACCGGCTAAAGAGGGTTTTACCTTTTATGATCTCAGAAGAACAAAGTGCATTCGTCCCTGGCAGATTAATTATGGACAATGTCCTGGTGGCCTATGAATGTGTGCATGCGATCAGAAAGAGAAAGCGAAAGAAGCCCTTGTGCGATGTGAAGCTAGACATGATGAAGGCCTACGATCGAGTGGAGTGGGATTTCCTGGAGCAAATGATGCTAAAAATGGGCTTCTCTAGTCACTGGACATAGATGATCATGAGATGTGTTAGATCAGCATCTTTTTCTGTTAAGCTAAATGGTGGTCTCTCCTACGGCTTTCTCCCTTCTCGTGGGCTTAGGCAAGGGGATCCCCTCTCCTCATATCTTTTCCTTTTTTGTGTGGAGGGATTTTCAGCAATGCTTAAGACTGCACAGAGACAGAAGGATATAAAGGGGGTGGCGTTTGGGAGTGGGGAACTGATTGTCACTCATCTCTTGTTTGCAGATGATAGTGTGGTGTTCCTTGAGGGCTGCACAGAAAACTTTTATGCACTCCGACTCATTTTGCAGGACTATGAAGCGGCCTCAGGATAGAAAGTAAATCTTCAAAAATCTGCTATCTTTTTTGGTAAAGGTATCTCAGAGGCAAGCAAACAGGGGCTACAACAGGTTAGTGGCATTTCAGCGGAAGCACTTAGCGAGAGGTACCTAGGGCTTCTAACTATCATTGGCAAATCAAAGGATGGAACCTTCAGATATGTCAAGGAGTGTGCAAGAGGAAAAGTGACCGGATGGAAGGGACAAGGATTGTCCAAAACAGTCAGAGAGGTGCTAGTGAAGTCAGGCCTCCAGTCAACACCGACTTTTACCATGAGTTGCTTCCAACTCACAAAGAAAATGTGCGGGAATCTGTCATCTATCTCATCAAATTTTTGGTGGGGGGAAGCGAATGGAAAGAAGAAAGTGCATTGGATCGCCTGGGATAAAATGTGCACGAGGAAACATGACGGAGGGCTTGGCTTTTGTGACCCTGAAGCTTTCAACCAAGCCATGCTCGCAAAGCAAGCCTGGCGAATTTTACAGGAACCGGAGACATTATGTGCCCGCTTTTTAAAAGCAAGATATTTTGTGGAGGGGTCCATAATCAATGCAACGTGCCCGAGTGGTGGATCATTCACATTCAGAAGCATAATACATGGGAGGGATCTGCTGGTAGATGGACTTATTTGGAGAATTGGGGATGGCTCTAAAATAAAAGTGCATCATGACAATTGGATACAAAGGACTGGAAGTCTAAGGCCACTGGGCCAAACATATATCCATGGGATAATGCGAGTGTGTGACTTGCTAAGCGAGCATGGCAGCGCATGGGATCTTGAGAAGGTGTACGCAATGTTCTCCCCGGACGAAGCTGAGGAGGTCACCCGGATCCCAATTGGTGGACCGTCTATGGAGGATTACCTTGCATGGAACTATACCAAAAATGGGGTGTTTACTGTAAAGTCTGCCTACCACCTGCGGATGCAACAGAAACGACTCAAAGCAGGCCGACCGGAAGCCTCATCCTCGGTTCAGGATGACAAGTCATGGATGTGCTTGTGGGACACCGTCGCACCAGGCAAGGTTAAAACGCACATGTGGCGTCTGATACGGAATGGCCTTGTGGTGGGGGTTGAGCTCCAAAGGAGGAAGATCAAGGAAGGTGTGTTTTGCGTAGCTTGTGGCAGAGAAGAATCGAACTACCATAGATTTTGGGGCTGTTTTCACTCATTGAAATTCTGGAAGATCATGCATTCGGAATTGGGGGTGCCAGTGGCGATCCCACCGCAGTCAGCTGGCCCTCAGAGTGCATTATCGAGGTGGCTCTTGTCTTGGTCTCTTGTCTTGGTTTGCGGATGCATCAGACGATGAGAGGGCAGCCATGGTTCAGGGGGTGTACGCGCTTTGGCTTGCCCGAAACAACGCTAGAGATGGGCAGAGAATTGAAGATGCAGACACGATTGCGAGAAGGGTCTTCCACCTTATGGGCGAGCGGCAATCCATCCATGGTTGCAAGAGCAAACAAAGTAGCCCAGACCCATGTGAGAAATGGAGACCGCCTGCCGAGGAATGGGTGAAAGCTAATGTGGATGCATCAATATCCAGAGTTGGGGATGTGGGGGGAGCGGGCATTGTTCTTCGGAACCATGAGGGTGCCTTTTTGGGCGGAGCTTGTCATATTTTACTGAGGTGTAAGGAACCAGCAATGACAGAACTTCATGTTTGTAAAAGAGCTGTGCAACTAGCCGATGAGCTCAATATACCTAATCTGCATGTGGAGATGGACTGCCGCGAGATCGTGTGCAAGTTGCAGAGCAAGGAGAAGGACTTGTCCTCGCTGGGACCGGTCATTGAAGAAGTTAAGCAGATGTTGGCAACGAGGGGGAGCTGGAGGGTTACTTGGGCTCGGCGTACAGCAAATAAAGCAGCACACTTGTTAGCTAGAGAGGGTGTGCTGAATAATTTTTGTAAGGTCTGGATGAAGGCTCCGCCTGACTGTATTTTGCATGTAGTTGCAGACGAAATCCCAGCTTGGGAAGCTTAAATAAAGTTGAACTAAGTTTCAAAAAAAAAGTGCGACAAGTAATTCGGAACGGAGGGAGTACGTTTTTTTAGTGTTTTTTTTAAGGTTTAGTGTTTTTTTTTTTTTTACCGAAGCGGGACTCGGTTAAGAGATGATTTCTTATGTTTACCCTAGCTCGTGTAAAGCCGCCCAGATTCCAATGCTCACCCGACTCACGCCGGCCAAACCAGGCACAAGAAGGGCGCCTGCCCGGGAAGCAGTGTTTAGAGACCGACATCACCGCCGGCTCGACTCGGAGACGATTCGGAGGGGTGGCAAAAGAGGATGGTTGGCCTGGAGGGTTCTGCATTAGATGGTAAATCCCCTTCAGCTCCTCTACTTGCCCATTCGAATTTGTTGATTTTTATTGGTCGAATTGATTCATTCCCCTTTATTGTGGTTGTGTTGTGCTTCTTATGCAGAAGAAAGGATGGACCGCCACGGGTTGAGTGATACTGGAGGGCTTTCTTGTGTGGGTGGCGTATCGTTGCTCGCACCGGGAACTGCCTTCTCTACTGATTTTAGTATTCTTCAGGAGCTCCGCACAGAGAAGTTATTTCGAGAATATTTGGAGTACCGTGAGGATTCATTCAATTGGGCGGCAGAAGAACTGGTTGCATCATGCAATTCACCTGTATGCACGGATCATTGGATTGCTATTTCAGCAAATCTTCATTCACCGTCCCCTCAGATGCTTGGAAATTGTTGGTATCTATAATCCTCTCTGTGTGCAGGTTGATTTGTTTCTCCAGACTGTGCCTGATGAGAGGCTTTTTCAAGAGCACTTTTTCAATTTTGTGTCGTTACGTGAACAGGTACTGAAATAATCCTCGGTTTCGTGACCCACTTGTCTTTTTTGGTTTATTATTGCTGTCTTCTGTACCTCCTTCTTTGTTGCAGTTTTCTCCTTGTTTTTAGTACATGTGATCCTTACTACTATAATGATTTTGGTACTATTTATCCTATATTGATCTTAGATACCAATGTATTAATACATATTTGTGACTTTCCATCAGAATGCGTAGATGTTTGTTTTCTCATAAAAGATGTGGAGGGTTAAATGATTTTGAGCATGCTTGGTTTGATGCCTAATGGGTTCGTTACCAAGTTGTCTTGCCGATCTCACATAAAGTTGCCATTTTTTGGCTTGCCAACACATTGGCTAGCAAAATATTGGTAGCAAACCAAGCACACCCTTTGTGATAGGGCACCTAGTACATTTGGAATGTCGCCAGCAAAAATGGTTATACTGAATATGGGTTCATTTGGGCAGATGATCTGCTGGAAGTTCATATATTGGCAAGCCAAAGTTTGGTACCCTATCATACCCTTTGTTACAGCCTTATAGGGCACCTCTACATTTATCATGCAGACTGCAAATTATTCTTCATTTTTGAGATAATTCT